ACTTGCACACAAACAAAAACCCCTTCACTGAAAGGGTGAATTTACAAAAAAATTTACAAAGAAATTCTGAATTTTTCATTTTTAATTTTTTTTCCTCAAATCAAAGACACTTTAATTGTTATTAGAATTGTCCAATTTCCTTTCCTTTTATTGTTGTATAACATCTACCACTCAGCAACAAATATTACCAGTTCCCATGAATGTTTTGTTATGTTATGCAGATGTAAGGCCTGTACTACAATTACCTGTCCATAAACGAAGGAAGTATATGTATTCCCTGCAAAGGTTTTACATGAAAAACATAAAAGTCTGCGAGGGGAGGGGTACATGTTATATCCGAAGATCTTCCCAAACATGCAAAGTAGTTCATCCAGAAATCAACTTCAGCTGTCATAAAAAGCATCGTAGCTCTTTGTACTCTAATTCCATTCATTAACTGAAAACTTTTACAACTTGAAAGCTTTAGAAGAGTTTAACAATTAAGGTAACTCTATAGAGTCACTTGATTTAAAACATGTCCTGAAAAGTAAGCAATTAGTCAGCACTTCTAGGAGGCACTTAAATTCCCTTTGTGGCCAACAATACATCTAGACAAGTGAGAAAAGCCAGTTCATTTTGATAGTGCTTCTTATGAAGAAAGCTGATCAAGTTGTCTAAAAGATAATTTTTGGGGAACTGTAACAATGGCAATGAAGTCTTTTCCCTGATGGCAAGAGCGCTGTACAGATTAAAAAAAAAAAAACAAACCACAAACCCCAAAAAAACCCCAAACAAAAAACTACCACCAAGAAAATAGTAGTACAAATATACAATACTGCATTTTCAAGCAGTGCTTGCTCAAAATCTGAATAGATATGCCTTCCCCCCCTGCCCCCATCTTGAGTGCTGAAGCAGAATAACCTCTTTTGTACTTGCTCAACTTTCATGTGAGCAGTTCCTCAACCTGGTGCTCTCCTGCATTTGGTGGTTTAACACCTGGTCTTCCCCCGGCAATAAGTCAACATTAAAGTGTCAGAAGAGTATGTGTTATTCCCAGCTACTGATCTTACTAAGAGGGTCTCATGTTTAACACAGATCAGGAGTAAACAGTTTTAGAAAGGATGACTAGGACCAAGAAGCCTTCCTTGAAACTGCCCTGAATCCCCCTCCCCAGCTCACTTCAAAAGGTGGCTGAACAAGCAACCCCATTCCCTTCCTCTTCATCTGAGGTCCGTTCTCCTCTCTCCTGGTACGCACACAATATTTTACTAAGTATCAAGACGACTAAAGCAGAAAAAAGTAAAATAATTTTTAGTGTATGAACGTGAGAAATGAGAAGCTCAAATCTCAAGATATATGTAAGAGATGGCCAACAAGAGGAGTCTAGACATTTTATATTGTGATGGCTTCCTAGAAAAAAACACCAGAGTAAAAATTCAACTTGGCTGCTGTGTCTCAGTTACCACCAGAGAAATATTTTCCATTAGTAAATGTATTGCATTTCTCATACAGACATAGAAACCAAGCCTAACTACCACTCCAGTATTTCAGTTACACATATAACCTCGCACACAATTAACAGATGGTTTTGGCAGCACTAGCAAAGGCTACCCAAACCAGTTATTCTTTAATCACCCCGACTGTTGCCGTAACATGCTCTGAAAGAGTCCAATCATATTCCTCCAAACTATCACAACAGCACTGAGTAGTGACCTTCAGAGAACAACTGTTGAGTATCCTACAGCAGATTGGTTGCTAAGAAAACCAGAGCGTTGGTTAAACATTTAATTTTTTCTACATGGGTGTCCTGGTTTCAGCTGAGAGGATTGATTTTCTTCATAGTAGCTAGTGTGGGGATATGTTTTGGATTTGTGCTGGAGACAGCATTGATAATATAGAGATGTTTTTGTTCTATGGATCTATTGTTGAGCAG